TGACTAGGGAAGAGCTTTCTGTTCATAACCCTCTCTGTTGGGAGTGTGACCCACAATCACATCTTTTGGACAAAAAGGAAAGAAATCCAAGTTATCAGTCAGAATTTCATATGACAAGAACCTGTATGACACAAGGTGCAGTTTGTTTTAAGTTTTGTGAAGAGGTCTGCCAAGTTTTTGTTGAAGTAGAAACACCAGTTCAAGACAGAATGGGAACATCCTGGTCTGGTGCTTACAAGTGGCGGGAATTTTTCAATAACATGGCCAAACAATCATTTCAGAAAAAAAACAAAAACCACATCATTTTCAGCAGTTGCGCCAAAATGATCCTCAGGTTTTTTTCTAAGCATCCTTAGCTTCTCAGTTTGAGTCAATACATAAACATGCTACAGAATCTTGCCATCACCAATCTCTGCCTGTTATGACAAGAATTTTTGCACCTGAGCAAACAGCTGATCTGCTAGGACTAACACTCTGAAAGGCAACCCTGAGCGTACCAGCCTGAATGCAAGGGGGTGGAAATAGAAGCCTTCTGACTGTTCAGCTACTCTGCTTCAATGAGAGGTTTGACACTGACAGTCCCACACCTCTGCTGCGCTGCTGCCACCCGGCTGTGTCTGCTGGAGTGCTGTGAGCACCTGTAACTCGCTTACTCTCCCTCTTGACCAGGGTGTGCTGAGCTCATCACGCACATGAGCGTGACAGAGAACTGGATGTGGAAAAAAGAACAGAACTGGGAAATGCCTTTTTTGTGAAGAAAGGACTTTCCTTCACAGCCCTCTTTCTAACAGCTAACATACTTGTATTCCCTGCATGACTAGCTTTAAATTAATGCTGTATATTAGCTTGTTCTTACTCTGATTTATAGCAAGAAAGACTTATTTTTAGTGACACGGAAACTACCAACTACTGTTGACTAGATGATTCCTAAATTATTAAAATGATCCTTTGAGTGTTCCTACAGCTTTTACTACTGATGTTAATTTTATCCCATTTAGAACAAAACAAATGCATCCAAGTCCTTTGGAGTCAACACTAAAACATTACCTCACCCTCTTGTGAGCTTGAGCTGTTATCTTTGCACTGCTAGCAACTATTAGGCACTAGTGCTCTCAGTGTGCTCTCTGTGGGAGAAAAACTGTACTACAAAATTTTCAGAAATTTGTATCCTGTTGCCCTATAAACCTCATCTCTGCTTCACTGATTAAAAAACTACTACCCAGAACAGCTAACAGAACTGCTTTATTTCCTGCTCATGATTAAGAATATTAACACATTTTCTGTGCTAAAGCACCTGGAGGGTACAGTCGAGCAACTATAAACTGTGAGCACTGACAGTCACATTTATCTGTTTTACACAGTTCAGTTCTGATCTACTAAGGACTGTATGCCACAACAAAAATACATAAATATTTAAAAGCAATGCATTTTGTAAACACATTTGGCCAAATGAAACTATAGTAACAATAGCAACTAGATTCTCAAAAATACTCAAATTATCTAAAATACAAAGGAAAAAAAAATCCCTATTTCTCACATTTGGTCTACTCCAATCTTAGAACTGAATTTTTTTTTGTATTTTACCTCTGCTGTCAAAATAAATGTAACAGCAATGTTCAGCAAACAAATATAAAGTATTGGAAGAAACTAACATTCTCACATGTAACTTTTTCTAACCGACATATGAATTGAGTAATATACTTGAAACTGCAAAACTCAGCCAAAGAAGATGCAACAATACCAGAAGCAATGTTAATGTTAACTGACCACTAAAGCTAGCAAGTGTTACAAGAAAACCACAAGGGTGAGAAAAGGAAAAGAAGCACCAGAGTCACAACCCACCCAGCACTGCACTGGCCAGCTTGCTGTGTTCTCACAGAAGTTTTAGAGTACTGCTGCACTAGAAACAGAAGTGCTGCCTTGATGTGACTTGGAGGAAAGGTGTGAGAAGCAGTATCCTACAGACAGACACACTGTTAAGATATGGACAATACAATATTTCATTCTGAATTAGAAATAGGAAAATGTGATGTGCCCTACAGATAAAGCAGCCAAAAAGTAGGAAAAGCAACCCCACACTTTACCTGCATAAAGCACTCACAGTGAGCACAAACAGAAGCAGCAGATTCTGACTGGAACATTCAAACCAAAGGGCAGAGGTCAAATAGTTCCCCAGGAACTCTCCACTACTGCCAGCCATTGAGGGCAGAGGACTACTGCTAACAGCTGAGCTATAGTTCAGCCAGGGATTTTATTCAATCTCCTTGTGGGACTACAACATACCCCTGTAGCAAAAGAGATTGAGCTGAAAAAAGCATTGTCGTTGGGTTTTGTGTTTTTCTCTTGTTCTGCTGTTCAGAACTATTAGTGCTTTAAAAAATACACACTGAAATCAGAACTATTAAAACAGCGGTACATATATGCTGGCATAAGGCAGCCAGCAACACAATCACAAGAAGCAAGAATTCATTCAAGGAAGGACTACTGCACATATTATTCAGTCATTTGGACCAACCTATTTTTTTTAGGCAAAAAAATAGTTTTACCTCTTTCTAGAAAGAGAGAGGGATGCATAGTCCCTCCCATCCCACAGTGAACAGAAAAAGAAGACCAAAGGCTTTTTGCTTTACTACTGTAAACATAAACCTCTCACACTATTTTTCAGTTCTGCAAAGACTTTTAGAAGATTGTTTGAACCAAGTGTCTCAGGACAATTACTGTATTTTCTATTTGTATAACAGCTATAAAAAAATATTTTATAAACTGCGTATTTCTAGTACTGCAGGTTCACAGCCACACCTGAGAGAATGAGTAACAGTAAATCATCCAAAGCACTACTTCTTCCCCTTTTTAAAAGAAAAATTAAATATGTAAAATGCTACAGAAAATTTACTGGTTTAATATCCTTAAAAAGACAGTCTGACATTCACCAGAAAAAGCAAAGTCAACTGAATGTACGGCTTGATGAGCTTTTATCACTACAGCACTCGCACTGAATTCTTCTCTTTCTGTACAAGAGGTAAAGCAACATGTAAAATCTCACATTTTCTACAGTAAGAATTTCAAGCCCAACATTCACCTATTCTAACTCTTCAATTATTTACTAACTTTCTGTAAATGACCCTTTTCTGAAGCTCAGTAAGTACAGAATTTGCTCACAATCAAGTGCCATGAAACAGATCAATGAGGCATGATTACTACAAAGAATCTCTTCATTTAACCCATATAAAATTTAAAAAAACACCTATCTAAGAATACAGAAATTCAGTGTACTATTTAATATGGAACAATCCATGGATTCTAATGTAAGATTTACAAGACTGCCCCGTGTGACTGTTTTCAATATTAAACCCAGCTGTATGTTCTCAAATTAATGTTGTATGAAAGAAATATTTGAACTCTCCGCCAACATCTGTAGCAGTTGTCAAAATGGGAAATTCCTTCAACTTCTGTAAGAGTCATCTCTTCAATTAATGAAGATGTGCAGTAAGGTAAAGAATACCCAGTATGAAATCTGATCACACACCAAATAGGAATCAAGAACATGCCAGAATTGAGTAATAACAAGAGGGGTGTTAAGTGTATTTTAAATATAGAAATGCAGTAGATACACTAAAGGAAAGAACACTTGACATAGATGTTTTGCACTGTAATGTGTACAAGTGCATCAAACTGCAGTCAGAAAAACTGAGGCTTAACTGAAGCAGATAATTACTGCACTCAGTACAAGAACCATACTTGAACTAGTACACCTTACTTTGTGCTTTACTGTGTTGAATAGGAAAAAGCTTGCTGAAAATAACCTGTTCCCCTGTAGTTTACACTCAGTATTAATGACTCAGATTATGTAAAAATTGCACAAAGTGTCAAGAAAAGCTTAAAAATTTCTTTACATGCACAATTACCTTACAGTATTTGTCAGTGTGTGCTATTGTTTGAATATTTTGTGTGGCCAGCTGCTCTTAAGTCTGTGTAGAAGTTGGAACTCTAAACAAAAGTGGAAGAGTCAAAAACAAACACAGAGCACAAGACTAGTGTCAGACCAGAGTCTGTTTTGGTCTTCTTTTTAAAACTATTTAACCAGGCCAACTTCCAAGTATGGACAGGGCAACAAACCATCTTTCAAAAAAAGAATTCAATTACATATTAATTATACAATATTTTAAACTAAAACACATGATTACCAAAAATTATTTTCTCCCTCTCAAAGCCCTCTAAATAGAATTTTCTTACACAATACTACTCTGAAATCTCAACTACACCAAAGTAACACACTATCATTAATGACACACATCTCATTCTCACAACCTTCTTGAGCTCTTCATTCCTAATAAGGAAGTAAATCTAACTGAAGGACAGAGGTCTGAGAGGTCATAAACAACACACAGTGAAGTCCTGATCTTCACTTGACTGTAACCGTATCTACCAGGTATTACCAGATAACAGAAACACATGCTATCAGATTTAGAATTGAAGATCCAGTATTTCTCAAGATACAGATCAAAATAGATTAGCTCTTACAAAAATGTAGAAAACTGCTTTCTGTAAGAACTGTGCTTGTGTTGATTGAAAGGTTTGACACTGGCATTCCAAACAATAACAGCAGTTCATAAAACATAATGGTCCAAAATGACTTTCAAATTGTATACATGACAACTACATGACAACTCAAATAAATGGCAAAGATCCAAAACAAAAAGAGAGAAAACAAGAATTAAAATATGTTCTACAAAAATACATCTTTCAAATTATCAATTGAAATGTTAATTTGCAGAATAAAGCCTTAAATAGTAAATATCACAGCATCAATTTGAAGTTGTACAAGACATAGCAAATTGGGTTTGGGGGAAAGTAAACACATCAAAACAGTAATCAGGTTCTAAAAGCACACACAATCAAAAAGGAAAAAAATCTTTAAATTCTAGTACTAACATACTTTGAACAAGCAATATAAGGCAATGCATCATCTTGAATACCAGAGGGAATTTCATTAGACATACCTTTTCTCTCTGTTTTCTGTGCAGGGATGGAAGATGCGGATGTAGACAGTTTTGATAAAGTAGATGCTCCATTAGCATCAAAGGATTTCTTTGGCTGGTGATCAGATTGTAGAGAAAATGGACTAGGAGGAACAGTGCTTGGGGTAGCAGTTGGATGAACCACTGTTTTGATGGGATGCTGTACTGGAGTAGAACTACTGTGAGTCTCTGCTCTTGGCAGTCTGTAGTCTCTGTCATTGTGCCTGCTTGTTTGAGACAAAATATTCTGTGGGAGCATACTGCTGGTGTCACTGGAATGCTTGTCTTCCACTTTTTTCAGGATTCCCCAAGTAACATTGCAATTAAAAAAAAAAAAAAAGATTAAATTAGAAACAAGTCTAAGATTGCAGTAACTGATTAATACAGCTGCACACCAACAACTAGAGCTGATTGAACTTCTTATGATTACAAAACGCTTCAAGTAGATCAGCTTCAAAAAAGACAAAATTTAATTCTACTCACTGACAAAATGCATTTTCTCTGACCTTTACTTGATTTAGAGCTCCAGTTAAGCACTGTGTTTTGATGAAAGGCTGCTTTATAACGAGTGTTACAGTCAAGTTAACTTTTGAAGTCTCCTAAAAAGATCTAAATCAAGATCTATTATTTCCATCTTGTATTTAGTTTGAAGAGATAATTTATGCCATTTTTCTTTTGTTCATCAAAATCCCTGAACATCAAGTATAATTTAACAGTTTGCCATTCTAGCCTTCAAAGAATTCCTCTTCATGTCACTTGAGTACTACTACAACAAGTTTACAGTTAATTCAAGGCATTTATATATATTAAATGAATGACTCATCTGCACTGGTCACATGATCATAGTCTAAAATATGCTACTCAGTGAACATACCAAGTAAACAGAGAGTAATTCTTTTATAGATTCTGACATTTTCACCTGTCACAAAACAAATACTCACTGCATTATACATGACTGCTATCTTTTTGCAGCATCCAGTATATTTTAGCATATACAGCAAGTTTCAGTGTACACCGAAAAATACCCCTTTATACATCACCTTGTCAAATCCCAAGAGCGTGGGTGAAGAATAATACTTTGGCTTCTGCTTTTAAACTACCCTGAGAACTACACTACAAATTTATCCAAACTACATCAGCATACAGATAGAATCTCACAGTACAACTGTTTTCCAGAAGAAAGCCGACATGACAAAGATTAAAGCTAGGTAAAAAAAAAAAAAAAGACAAAAATCTCCAAGTTACAGAAATTCATAGTTCAGGGAAGATTTTGCAAAGAGTATTGGTCAGGTAAAAATATGCTCTTGATAACACACACAAGCCTCTTGAAAACCCCAATATAAAAATAGATTGAATTAGGTTATTATTGTTAGATGTGAAATCTTTATTTTTAAGGTCAGAATATGACATTAGCAGGTCTCAATGATCACAACAGTCCAACTAAACTACAGATTATGCAAGTTATTTAAGTAACTATCCATGAAGATAATTAAACTCGACAGCAAAAGCCACAAAAAGGAGGAGAACCATGAAAAGCATTAAGCAAATGTTGCACTAATAAAGCTGTTTAAAGAAACCACATTTGGGAGAGTTAACTGTGCTACCCACTTTGGCTTTTATAAACGAAAAGGTGAGAAAAAGAGCTAAGGAAAGGAATTTTTTACAGTTTTTGAAGTTTGGAAAAGAAAACATTAATGCAAACAAAGCAAGAATGTATTGCTGTAAAAAAACCACATACTTCCACTGGCAAACCCACTGGCAGCTGTCGCCTGCATCACCTCTCTTCTGTAATCCCTATCTTTTGGAAAACTGTTAACTGACATTTTGCTTGCTTCTTTTTGTCTCTGCTCTCTGAAAAAAAAGAAAACAGAAGTCAGGTAAAAACGTACATTATTTAATAATAAAACAGTTTTTCTAAATTACATGAGATGAATTAAACTGTTAAGAGCTTGCTGCTACAGAGGGGGTTAGCGAACTTCAGCCACTGCTTTCTTACATGCATGCTTGCTGAAGCCCACAATATACCAGTTCAGCTTACTAATCTTGTCCAAAAAAAAAACCACCCAAAAAACCCATCCTGAAACAAAACATTAAAAACAACACTGACCCAGAAAACCAAAACAAAAATCCAACGGAAACAAACAAATAAACCCCAGAACAAAACAAAAACCAAACCAACCAACCAACCAACGGAACAACAAAATCCTCCCCAATAAATCATCTCCACACAAACCAACCATACCTCCCTTTCAGGCTCTGGATTGTCAAGGGATAAAAGAGGTGCCAGAGGTCATGGTAAGGGTAGGAACACAGCAGACTTAGAGCACAATCTTTTATAGCAGTAATCTATTAGATAAGCTCAAGTGCTCTGAAATGTTCCTAAGAATATTTGTTCTTTATACAATTAAAACAAATAAAAACATATACCTTTCCAGCCACTCTTTTGGTTTTTCCCACTGTGAAACTTCTGTTCGGCAGTTGTAGTAGTATTTTTTGCCTGAAGAGCTGATGTGTTCAGACCAATCATCCGCAGAATCATAAGCCTTTAAAATACAAACAGTGTTGGACAAAAGACTACTTGAGAGTTTTGATGTACAAATTTAGCAGCTTCCACTGTGTTTAAAACTACATGGCACCTTTTATGTACCCGTATCATTGCTTTCCACCACCTCTAAATGACAGCTTGAACACATGACCAGTATCCTCCTGCTGCATTCTGCAATAGTTTCCTCTGGTTCATTCCCATCAATCCCTTTAACAAAATCTAGTAGTACATTTAGTGGGACACAGTAAGGTCAATACTGATTAAACATTAGTTTCCTTCAACCTTACAACATCCCCAGAATTATTATCTTTCCAAAATTTTTCCACTGATCACAAATTTACTAATTTTGGGTTTGGGCATATTTTTACACCACTCTAACTACTAAAACTTTGATGCTGAAATGACTAAAATTCACAATACGTAATGCATTTCAAATAAGTAAAATCACACTGTCTGCTCTGGATTTACCACAAAGTTAATGGAAAATATTTCTGTATCTATGTCATTTAAATAATCTAGTATTTTAAAATTAATGACAGGTAACTCAAAGCTCTAATTATTACCAATTAGAATAGTTTTAAAACATGTAACAACTGTAGGTTGGGTTTACACAGTGTTTATAAAATAAAGACTGATGTTGGAAAACTCAAGCACAATGTATATGCTGCCTGTCTTAGACAAAATTATGAAAATATGGTGTGTATGGACAGGGCAACACATTGATAAAAATCAATCACAAATACTCACTGCATCTGAAGTTTTGCCTGGATTATTGCTGGGATTAGAAGAATGGGAATTTGAACTATGAAGAGCACTGTGGTTGTGTGAGTTTTCCTGTGGAGAGTAACTGGTCCCTGAAAGAAAAGAGAAAGACCATGTAAGATTTCAAAGAAATCAACCATCTGCATTCTAAGGAGGTGGAAGGGCAAAGAAGAGGGAAAGGGAGAAGGAAAGTTGTCCAAAACCTGGATCACAGCCAAGTGAAGCATAGTTCAGATGCAGAAGTATTTCAAGAGACCACATGCACATTTCTTTTTCACACAGGATAAAACGCACTTTGATTTTATAACTGGAGTAATGCAGTACGTCCTTTCACTGGTCTAACTCTCAAACTTTATTCCATCACTAGCAAACAAACAGCCTTTATAATTTCAATGCTTTTAAGAGTCCTAACATGCCAATTCAGAAATTAACAGACATTTTCTCCTCAACATTAAATCGGAAAATTTAAATAGGCTCATCAACAGCCTATATAGTTAGATGCATAAAATCAAGTTTTAAGTTTACGGAAGCAATGCTGTTTCCTTAAAACTGCTGTTTTCTTTTGAGACTAATTGTTATTAGTTCTAGGCAACTATTTCTGTTTATGCATACCGAGCAGACTAAATTTTCCTGCACCTCAGTCTCTGTAATAAAGGTACCGGCATTTAGAACATCAAAAGCAGCACCACCCAAATGGCCACCTGCCTCTGGCCTCCCTACCAACTACTCTTCAAGGCAACTTGGTTTTCCTCAATGTGAAAACACTTGAACAGCCGAAACAAGAAATGAGAATTCTCACCAACTTTTAGATCTGTATTTGTGCCTAAGCTCAAGTCACCTGAACAGTTCCATCTTAATTCTCACCAACTTTTAGCTCAAGTCACCTGAACAGTTCCATCTACAATTAAACAAGGATAACCACACTGCAACCTCCTTTTAAATTTTCTGTTCTTAAGGCCTCCTATTTGTCTAAAATTTCTAAGCAAGTAAAAACCCTTCCATTATTCTTGATTGGATTTTTTTAAAGTTCCAAGTGTTCACATAAATCATCACCAAACTAAGTCATTTTCTTACATGTTTCAGAGAAAACCCAAGATATTGCAAATTTAACACTCTCCCATCTTTTACTTTTCCTACTGAGAAATTTCTCAATACCCAGGGGTACTACATGAAGTACCACTAACTTCACAAGTTGTATAGCAATCTAGTATTCATAGTAAATAAGAAGTCAAAGTAATTTGAAAATGGCAAAGACTTTATCTTATGGGCAATTACAATAAAGAACAGTAAAGGACTGACATATAGGAGTGAATGGAGTAATAAAAAAATAATTGTTTCCAAGTCTTCCGAGAGCTACACACACAGAACACGACTAAATGACACAGTATGGTGCAAAATGAGAGCCATTATAATGCAAATTCTGTCTTCTGAGCCTTCTAACTACACAAGCAGTGACAAAATTGCTATTTCAAACTTCTTTCTCCCCACCTTTAACCCTGCAGGTTAGAAAGACAGTTCATCACAAAAGCAAAAAGAGATACACCACCACCAAAATATTTAGTATCCTACAAAGGTTAAAAGTCAATTTGCACAAACATGAGTTACTGCAACCTGAACCAGCACTACCTCAAAACCTTTCCCTACACTATGTTGGCTAAAACTGCATGTTATTCTCTGTAGAGATATAAGGGGAAAAAAGTAAGGATAACAGAGCAAGTCTCATACTCAAATACAGTTTTTCAAAAGCTAGACCATAATTCTACACCAAAAGTATCTTGCATGCTCAGAGCCGGGCAGAATGACTTAGCATGGGGGCAAGTTAGGCTTGTCAAAGCAATAATTACAACCATGACACACTTGTGATGCACATGCCTAACAACAACAACAAAGCCCCCTTTATAGATGCATTTGATTCCCCCCAAGATATAAGCAGTGTATCATAATTACAAGGCTGTACTCCACAGTTACACCAACAGGCTCAATTTTTTTTAGACACTGATCATGTAGTGAAATAACTGCTTAATATTTTTGTATTAGCCATTCTTTTAGTATTTATTAACTATGTCTTTCTACCGAGGTAAAAATAATTAAAATTTCTTAATGTATTTTTGTAGGTTGTTCAACATAGACACATTCTAATTAATTTCTGCTAAGAGGTAAAATCATCTCCCTTTTTCAAGGAAAAAAAAGAGATGAAAATTTACCAGATGCCTTTGTTTGAACAGTACCTTCAAAACATCAGAAAGCACCAATGCATTTAATTTACCTGTTAATTAATTCATCCTGTACCACAGTTGCACTATCACCACATTTTGTTCAGCATGCTGAAGGTGTACATGGTGATTTTTAAATACTGTATTGGCGTAAATACACCACACCATGATTCTAATCTAACAGGCACTTCCCAAACATGAGAAAGAGCCAACTACATACCTATTATATCAATAAAATACTGTGAAGCCAATTCTATCCAGCCCATAAACAAACCACTCAAATTCATTGTACAGACTTTCAAACCCCACACGGTGTATCAGCTCAGCAGCATGCCCCCATTTCACACTGTGCCCAGCCCCAGCACTGAGTCACCAAGCTCTCTGCAGGAGTATCAGAGCAGCTGCAGCAAGTCACACCCACCTCCAGCTGGCCCAGATAGGCCAACACTAGTATGCACCACTTTCTTCAAAAGGGGCCCCTGGGCCTCTCTGAGCTGCAGTCCTCCCAGACAGTCCATCCACATGCTCCATCCAGCAGGAATCCTGTCCTACCTGAGCTGGCCTCAGCTGCATAAAAACTCATCATGGCTGCTCCAGCAATGCCGACTGCCTCATGTCACGAGGACAAGCGAGGTGGGCCTTTGCAGGGCAGGCCATAAATGCATGCTGATGGTGCAGGGTAACTACAGGTGTGGGTTCACCGCCCAGACCCCCGTTCTGTTTTACACATAATACCACTTTATGTTTGGATCTGTATCCAAACTTCAGGAATGAGCATACAAAAGGACTGCTGAACTGCTGTTTGCTGTTGGAAAACTTACAAGACTAAAGTGGATGACACTCTGGAGAACAACAATTTTAGGCACTTCAAACAAGTTAAGGGCTTAAACAATGCATGTATACATGACAACCATATTACCAAATTACCTTTTTATACTGAGACAGCAAGGCTCTAGTATGTGGTTAAATCCATGGACAGCTGTCACCTAGCAATCTGACAATCCAGCCAAGCAAGTGGTGCCAGATCAAGTTGTCTGGGAAAGTTGTTGAGGACATTTAAAAGACCAGAAAGCAACCCACAAGCAGAGGTCTACCTCTAAAAACAAGAGGGTTCCCCTCACTTGAATGATAATTTGCAAAGCCTAACCCCAAGTCATTTTAAGGTGGCTGTGACTTGCCACCAGCTCTGCATCTCCCAGCTGCATGCCTGGCAAAGCAGAAGATGATAACAGGATCACCAAGACTAGTCCATACCCAAGAAACAGGCCTGATAAGGTAGAGAGCATACTACTGTCCCTTGAGACAGTGTCTCGTGGCAAATTCTCACCTTTTCCTCTTACAGTTAGACATTCCTTACTAGCTACACGTTCCTCAGGAAAGAGGAACAAAGACTTGGTTTTGCACTCCTTATTAGCATATTTTCAAATTTAGCAATTGCTGTTATATATCTTTGATGCACCATAAGGAAATTCATATTGTGTTATAAATACTCCAATTCAGTTTCAGAACTCCCCATGGAAATGTTTACTGCACAATCACAGTGAATTTCCTCAGTTTAATCATTATTTTGAAAGCAGCTGAAGCTGGAAAGAGCTACTCCTAACTGGAAGATGGCCAACAAGGGCATCAGCCCTACAGTTATATAAAACTGTAGTGGTGCAACTGTGTGAGCAAGTCTTCCCTGGTGATTAACAAGTCACAGGGCATATCAGAGTCAAGGTTAAAATATCACAGCTATCTTCTAGTCTTCCAACAAAAATCACATCTTCCTTACTAATGCATGAAAATCAATTCTGCACTAATGCAGAAAGTACAAAGAGCAAGGGTCTGGGAACCAATTCAAAATTGACTTCATGCCTACTACAGATTTGAGATTCTGTTACACTAGGACTGCTTTTAATGTTTTTCTAAGTTTTCTCCACATCCCAAGCGCTGAATCCAAGACACTTTGAACTGCAACAAGGGCTCAAAACTATCCTGGACTTGAAAAACTGATTTAACATAGGCTGAAATAAGAATACTACATTTTGCAATACAGTCAACTTTCTCTAGCAATTATCACATTTAATTAGCATCTCTATTAACATCACTTCAATTCTGAAGGTATAAAAAGATCAAATTTTGATTTAACCAAAGATCAGACTGCTCTAATAAAGCACCCTTCTCCCCTGCCATCTTCAAGACCAAACCAAAACTCCTTCCTTTCCAAAACCTATAGACCTATACTGGCTATTAGAACATCCATCTGAAACCATTTAGGTGGATGAAATTTACTTGCCACTTGATTAGAATAATCTAATACTTGACTGTGCATTATCCACCATCCTCTGGCATCCAAGTATCTTAGCCTAATTTACTCTTTTTTGGTTCATAGCATCATATAGTATCAGAATAATAAAATCTTCTACTGAAATGCACAAGTTGGAACAGAGAGACATTAGAGTTGCAGTATATGTACTGTTGTACCACATGACAGTTAACTTTACACAGTTCACTGCTGATAGAGCATTCATGTTTTCTTTTCAGCCACAAAAATACCTTGCTAATATCCTCACTCTCATTTTGTTCATATTAAAAAGTGTCAGTGTAGATATAAAATAAAGGAAGTTAAAAAGTGCTCACCAGCTGGAACTCAAAGATGGTCTGCTGCTCCAGTACCTCTAGAGGGAACTGGGGTTCAGGAAGGGCTTTAGGAGAGTCACCGTTCCTGTGCCCATATACTAGGCATGTGGAAAGAAACACTGGGCAGCAGAAAAGCAAGGAAGATCATTACCCTTGTGACAATTCCATCCACACTTTCTATGATTCCATATTCCACCTTTCAGCTAATATGCAATCAAATTCATGAAACTACAGACAATACCAGAATCTGAACTTCC